GCGTTCATTGTTTACAGGAGTTGGCAGGTGCTCCTGTTTACAGTAGAAGTCTCTACAAACTTTGACTTGTATCGCTTCAAGGCTTCACGATGTTTCACAGATCTCTATGATGGCTCCACACGATGATGGGAAGTAGCAGAGTAGGCAAAATGCCTCTGCTCCAGAACCGAACTGCTTCTGAGAAGTGTAGGAACATCTGTCAACTCTTGTAAGGCGATGAACACGACGACTGGAATTTGTTAAAAATCAAAAATTAAGGGGGGCGGGCGCCGGTGGGTTTGAAAGCAAAGAGATTAGCTCAGCTTTCTGTTTCGCAGTTGCCCTTGGACGGAAATCCAGGGAAACCACAGCCTGTGCCCATCTCTGCGCCCAGGGTGGCCATTTCCACCAGCTGTTGCGGGTCAAGATGGCTTTACCAATGTGAGAAATGCCGACCTTCTGCGCTTCAGTCCGCCCTCGCGGGATAATGGCTATGCATATCCACAAGTGTACTTTTTTGCACAGTTGATAATGTAACGCAGTCGGTCAGGTGGACTTAAAATAGGGGAAATAGGGATGGATGAGCATAATCGCGGCTATCTCACACCAAGGCGGGCTCATTCAGCTCCTCTTGACCCCGCTACAACTGACTTTGACGATATCAACTAATAGATGAGTAGAGATCAAGAAATATGTAGAATTTCAGGTTGAAGACGTTATTGCAGAGATAGGGGTGAACGGGGTGGGAGGTGCGGGGGTGGAATGAATAAAAACCAATTTCTTCCAGAAGCCCAGCGCAAGCGTGCTCTATTTGCACTGCCCCTGGGGGTAGACACTTCGGGTAGGCACACACTTTGCGGACAAGAAGAGAAAAACCCAGTTAGGAACAGAAAGGCCCTGTGATACGAAGTGCCAAGAGGCCTGAAGCTGATCAATGAATGACTCGAACATCCGCTTTTGTAACAGGTAAGATTCCAGGAACGAGACAAAATCCAGGCCGATATATCCAAAAGAATCGTAAGTTGCCGCTTCGTTGCACGCGGCAATGGGCGCGACGCTTCCATGTTCTACACTTCTCTTTCAGCTAGAGCATCTGGTTTCATGTAGACAAGGACATGGTGGGCACTTATGTCTATTTTTGGTCATACATTGTCTATTCTCGACCAATACCACCTAAAATCGTCGTCATTAGCGGGCGCGACGTCGCACGCGACGCCCACTGGCGCGGCGAATTACGATTCTCTTGCCACACACCCCTAAACTCCAGCCAAGGCTACGAATTTCGTAAATGCGCCTCTCGCGACTCACCATCAGCAACCTCCACTTCTAAGGGGCGGATGAGGAGGATGAAGTGACCACACGGTCAAAAGCTGGCGCCGCGCCATTTCACCGTGGACGCTAGGCGTTTCCAGAGGGCATTTGACGCGGCGCCAGACACTTTCCCAGCATCTTCGTCGCCTGATGCTGCCACATTTATAGAAACATTGCGCCGAATCCTGGCCTTCCCCCCACTCCTGACACACCCCAGCATCCGCACTGAACAAGACTGCAGGTGTTGAGTCATGTGGTGCAGCGAATAACATCATCACTTTGAGAGACACAACAAAATCATAATAAATGTTTATCGTCATCATCAAAAGTTGATTCTGGAACCATCGAGGGTCGAATACCCTTGTATACCCGAATAAGAGCCTTTTTTACTTCCTCAACATCACCCAGCTTCGCTGATACAGGGAGAACATAGTCAAATATTAACGGTATTGCAGGACGGTACTGTTCCGGAACATGTCGAGGCCAGTCCATGCCACGCATCATCTCTACTAATTTTTCTGGTTCCTAAACAGAAATTAGGCTGCATACGGGAAAATAAGCACATATAGTGAACCCAAGACAATTTCTACTTACACCTTCTGGAGCGATATCGATTTTATTGAACAGAAGCACTGAAGGCTTTTGAACCAAGCTTTTTGCTGTAGTCTTCGAGTTCACGATTGAGAAGAGCGACAACTTCGATTGGAGATCTGAAGGCAACATAGACATTTTACAAGCGTGGTTCGCGACTATAATATTTATCGCCGCTCTGGATGCTAAGGGGGGGGTCAGGGGAGGTGGGGTCGGCACAGCGCCAGTCCGTTCTTCACAAAATGTTGTCGATGAGGGTTTCAACAACTGGCGGAGAAAAACAGCGCCAAGCCCATCTTCCTTCGTCACGCCCAAGCAGCGAAGAGGCGACTAAACCTGCTCGCCGTTTTCCTTTAACAAGCGTAACCCCGAAAGCAAATAACTGTACTACATTCACAGCTCAAAAGTGAGGCCGCCGCTCGCCGTAGCGACCCCACCCACCACGGCTTTCCTGCCATGGGTGAACGCCATTGGTGAATGCATGGGTGCTCGTCATCCCTCTTGTCTTTCCTACTTTCCATCCCCTTATCCCTGGTCTCTCTCCTGCACGATCACCCCTCTTCACCTCTCGCCCCCCCCCCCCAATCTTCACGATTACACCACAAAATCCCACTGCGCTTTTCAAGAGGAACTTCTCACGGTCGTTTGGTTGGATAGAAGCGCGCCTTCCCTTATGTCTTTCTCTCCACCATGTCCCTTATCCCCAGTGAAGCACCATTTTTGCGAAAAAAAAAATTAAAAATCACCTGAAAGGTTCATTTAAGTTGTTGGAAAGTTGGAATCCCATACAATCCACCACTATACAGCAGAATATCCGAGTATTCCAGGTGTTTAAGGAATTTATGTCCTTTTCCACGATTCTGAGCTGCTCCTTCTATTAATCCTAAACAAAGCATTGCGAGACAATATTGCAAATTTATGTTCAAATCGTGAGAACACTTCTACTGCACAGATGCTATACCTGGTAAATCGGCAAGAGATAATGTGAAGTCGTCTTCTATGCCTTTTCTCCCCTTCTCTGCAGTCCAGAATGCCAATTGTGGTTTGGTCTGGAAAGAGACAGAGCTTAGAATGGTAAGAAGTACTATTTGGTTTTTTTTTGAGATTGCGCCACGCAATCGACCTTCACTCACGAGTGCAATGACACTGGAAAGGAGGTGTCGCAGTGATAACGGACTATCATATCCGCGTGGTAGAAAGATAATGATAGGAAGATAAAACATTGAAAGACGTAGGCAAAACGTACCGTAGTGAAAGGGTAAGGTGCAATTTTAATGCTTTTCCGTGGCACAATCGCTTTCATCAAAGTCGATTTGCCAGCATTTGGGAATCCAACGAGTCCCACATTGGGGCGGAGTTTCAGATGAAGTGACATATTGAATTGTTCTCCTTGTTCGCCTCTGAAACTTGTATAAGTCGGAGTCGTGTTTGGGATTAAAAGGATAAAGGATAAAGTCTTCGCCGTTGATCAATCCCTTTGTGGGATGCGGCACGCATTCTACTTCCATTCAGAATCGTAGTGGCTTATTGAATGCGATGTGGCCTATACAATGACTTGCGGTGGCCAGCCGATGTACAAGTCAGTTTATCCTCCCAGACGAATCTGGTACCAATTTACCGTCCCCGGAGGGTAGAAGGCTTGGTTGGCCTGGGCGGGTCGACCCGGGATTCGAACCCGGCGCCGCGCGAGTGGTAAGCGCGCCACTTGTCACTACACCACCTCCGCCTCCGTGTTTGGGATTGCCACTCAAAATCACGATGACGCGAGCCGACGCGTCGTCGCGAAGTCTGAACGCTGCTCTTGACCCCACAGGAGTGCCTTCAGTCTTGATGCTTAAAATTGCTTACTTGAAATCATTCCTTGCATTTCCACCACAACCTCCTCTTGCTATCAAATATTTCTGGAACGGCCTGGTACATCTTGCAAGTAGCACATTTCGGTCGTCATCAACAGCCTCAACTCCGACAGGAACATCGAAGCACTGCAAACGAACCAATCAGAAGGGGAAGAGCACGCTGGCAGGATGAGCGGAGACGGTCAATCATCCCCTATCCCGTTCATGTGCATCTCCCTCATAGACTGCAACAAGAAGGCAAGCGTTAGAAATGAAGTACTACAGTTGACTGTCTCCGCCCATAGTATCATCGTGAACTGCGCCCTTTCTTTATTACTCAATGAATCTTGTAGAAGACATGCTTATATTTTCTATGTCAAATCCATCAATGGTCTGTTTGTATCTAATGAAAGTCTGCGACTGGAAACTGGCTTGAATATTTGGAGCCCTTACTGTCTTCACTTCGACGCCACTGGTCGTTCACTGCGACGAGTGCTCCGCCCCTTTGATCGTTTTTACGAAAAGTCCAAGCAACAGGTGCGAAAATCGTGTCATCAGTGGGAATGGGTTGGGCGCGGCATCTCCACCCAGATGTTGAAGTAGAAACGCGACAACGATAGGTGGAAACGGAATGGAGCTGCGCCAAACCCAGCCCCAGCTGCCGCAGCGAACAAGCAAGAATATACATTTCTGCGACGTCGCGTATGCCAGGATCTTTTCCATGAGATAGGGGGAAAAAGCCGTTGTAGTGAGCCAATGGCCCAACAGCACCATATGTGACAAGTGCGTATGTCACGGCGATGTATGTTAGTGTGATGTCTCATCATATGTAATTCAACGCGCATGTATGTGTTATAGAGTGAAATAACGCGATAGACACACATCTAGCCGCGTTGGATACATCGCCGTGACATACACAGCTATTACACATGGTGCTGTTGGACCGTCTGCTAACTTAGCAACTTGTTCTCCGCTATTACGAGAGAAAATTCTATGCATACGACGCTCCATAGACATTCGAGGGTACTGCATGGAAGCCGCCAAGCTGATAGGGTAAGAGGCGGCATTGGCGTAATGGATAGCGCACTTGCACGGAAAGCGTGAGGTGCGGGGTTCAAATCCCGCCTGATGTCAACCTT